GTCCAAGGGACGCTCAGGGAGTTTGTGTGTTCGCTCAGACACATGAAAAATTAGAGGGAACATTGTTTTAAATGTATAAAACTGTGTCGTCTACAAAGAAAAGAAAGAAATGTGCCAAGAACAGGGCCCCGCCGAACTCCATCAACAATCACTTTTCTTAAAGGATCCTAAAATCAAGCTAATATTGAAACAAAGAGGAAGGATTGTCTGAGTCATTGTGATTCTTTTTTCATTAATTTTTGCATTTAGATTTGTTTTTTCTTTAAAGCCACAAAAAGATATGAATCAAGGAGTTTGAGACCAGAACAGGGTCTAGAGAACGTGGCCAGTACTTCTTCCACATTAGTGTCTTCAAATCTAGAGTTGAAGTAAAATCCTTCTCCTCACATGCAACATCTGATCCCATCACATGTTAAAAATCGTATAGCCCTTTTATCCCAGCAGAGCACTTCCCTCTCAGAGTGCAGGATTACTTGTGGCTCCAGGTGTTTTTAAAAGTAGAACAGGAGGCAGAGCTTTCAGCTTTCAGGCTCCACTTCTTTGGAACCAGCTCCCAGTTTGGGTTCAGTCAGACACCCTCTTTACTTTTAAGATTAGGGTTTAAACTTTCCTTTTTGATAAAACTTCTAGGGCTGGACCATTTGACCCTGAACCATCCTTTAGCTTAGGCTGCTGTGGGATTTCCCATGATGTACTTCTGAATCTGTTTCTTCTCAATTTGCCTCTTTTCACTCCAGATATACATGTATATACCCTGACTCCACGTATTAACATTTGTCTTCTCTCTCTTGTAGTTTGTTATTTGTCCTGTTTACTTGCTCTCATTTTTTCTTTTGTCTTTTTCTTATTGTTTATTTAATTTTCACTTAAACTTACATGCAATGTTTTGCAGGCTTTGTTTAAAGCTGAAGGTCAAATGAGTGAAGAATTTCTCTAACAGTGCTTTGTGATGGATGGTTCCAGTTCAATTATTTAAAAGAAAACCGAGCTGCTGTTTGGGATGTCTCCACATGTTCAGTGTGTCTCTAGCATGTAGATAGGAGCTGCTGATGTTGGCTTAGTCCCCTGTTTAATGGAGAGTATACTCCCACTGCAGGGTGTTACAGTGATACACACAGACAATGTAAAATATTTCTGTGGGTTGGAGGATTGGAGGGTTTCACCTTAAGCAGATGGAGAGATTGCATAACAAAGATGGAGTGGGACTGTGGGGCTTTCAGGAAGCTTCCAGCTTCATCTATAATCTGTTTGAACATATTGTAAGCTGTGTGATCTCATCCTGCATCCTACTGACTCAAATCACTAATTTAATCAGCATTAGGATTTCTAAAGACATTTCTGGAAAACTTCATTACAAATACTATAAAATACATAAAGATAATGTTTATATGGCAAACTGCATTTATCACAGAGCATCTTTCTTCCATAATCTATCATTTCCAAAGTGATTCTGGAAGAAATCCTCAGATCCTACTGATGCTTGGAGCTCAGCATCAACCATTTATTTGCAGATGAAATGTGTTTAAACAAAACTGTGAGGCTGTTAGATAAACGCTGCTCTAAAAATAACTTCAACTAAGAAACTATTCAAATAATACATTTAAGTTGAAACTAGTTTTTAAAAATCCTAGTATTAATTTACAAGATAAGAAAATTAAGTAATTTACTCTAATGATACAAATGCCTTTATCATTTTAAGTCATTTAGTGAGGTGCAAGCAAAAATCCTGCATCGGGACTGCAACAATTTTCCTAATTTGATCAATTTGCTGATATTCTGTCCTATTAACTGCTATTTTTCTCCAGCTATATAAGGGACACTTTTCTTATTTAACCTAATCCAAAATCCCAAACAGCATTCATCGTTGCACACTGTTTGGCTCTGGTGGAAAAGGGAAAGCAGCTGGTTTTCACTCATTACTTGATCAGGTTTAAGCAACGAAAGTTTAGGAGGTGCAGGAGGAGACTGTGGCCTGGGTTTAAATCATGGACGTAGCCACAGTAACGTGACCCATCGCCAGCTTTAGTAGCATCACAAGGTTTTGGGAACCAGGTGTTACTATCCGGTTGTTCAGTGATGACGCGACGAATCCTACTTCCGGGTCTAAAGTAGTCTGCGTTTAATATGGCTTTT